AACATACCTTAGACGGTTTTAAAAACTCTATTTCCCTTTTGTAATTTTTAAAAATTTAAAAAAATGTGAATTTTTTAAAACCCTTTTTAATGTAGGCCAGTCAGTTCTAATATAGTGTGTGATAAAAGAGGTCACTTTTGTTTACATACACATAACACTTTATAACACTGAAATAATTCATTTATTTTTTACAATTATTCAAAGTAATTTTTCAATTAATCTTGAGCACGCCCATGGAGAGGTCGGAGGTACCAGTTAAAATTATGCTAATTACTCTCTCGTTCATAAAAATAAACTATAATCTACAAGCAACTGATATACTAACAGACTATTACCTTTATGTACTATTCTACTTAGCTTAATAATAAGCTTAAATCATAGCCATCATTTTACATATCATGCTTAAAATAATTCCATTTTCGATAGTTTGGGTTTCGAGAGGGAATGAGAACTAGGGAAGTAATATGTGAGTTATTTGTATATAGACGTATTTGAAAAATACGTCTATATCAGTTTAATTGATATAAGGTTGAATGCTCGAATAAATGAACTTTGAAAAATTAAGGTAAATATCGAGTACAAATTTAATAATCAAATCTTGCCCAAGTACTTTCGCTTTCTACAGCATCATCAGGGGCATTTCGTCAAATTTGGGCTATCCAGCAAGCGCAGAATGTAATAAATATGAAATTGAACATAAATTGTACATAACACTACACTAAAACAAGGACAGACAGTTTAAAATTATTTAAAAATTATTCTACGCTCTACATTCTTGTCGGCAACAGGAGAGCTCCATTACGTCGCTGATATAAAAGCGTAAACAAAAAAACAAATATATTAATAAATAACACAACAAGAAAGCACTGGGAAACATACTCAAATAAATTGATGATGATTGTACTAATAATCACATTATTATTATTCAAATAAATATTATTTCTAATTAGCTATTCCTCACAACACCTAAAATTATCAAAAATTCTAATTTAATACCCACAATTTTAGACTTACCAATAAGAAAAACCACTAAAAACAAAAAAGTGCGTGTGTTCATTTTGCCGAAACAATTAAAAATCAATGCGGAATATCCAAAACTTGGTTTTTATATCTTGAACTATAATAACCTATTACGGGTTAATCTTAAAGTGACAAACATTTTAAGATAACATTTCTGAAGAATTTTGTAGAGGTTTTATTAAACAAGTAATCTATTAGTCGCTATCGTAAATGGTATGATAGTCTTACGATAAATTATTGTCAAAAGGTTAATATTTAGTTACTTATTTACAAAAATATATAGTTTTTGTTTATCTGTAGTTTTAAATTTCGATTTGGTTCCATCAATTTTTTTCTCCGCCACTTGCAGATTCAATCTTCATCACTTATAAATCAGATTCATTGTTAATATACCTAATAAAAACTGCTCGTCGTAAATACATAAATGAGCAGACACTTATAGGATAAATTTTACAGAGGTTTTTTTTTATTTAAAAAAGAAAGAGTTGCATCCACCCGAAGGGTAATAGCGACATTCCTGTAACATGTTTGTAACAATATTAAAATAATCATTTGTAACAATCAATCATTGCAACAATTAATTACAATTTAAAAACAATTAAACATTTCTAACAATTAATTAAATTTAAATTAATTTTTGTGTAACATGTTTTGTGTAATTTTGTGTAGCATGTTTATAGATTTTAAGTAACCTAATAAATTGTCCGGAACAAAATTTTTATCGAGTAATGTTTTCAGGTTATTTGGAAAATTGTAAGAATGTCTTTGATTTATACATTTAGGACAATATATTAAGAAGTACTCTATATTATCTACTGTATATTTTGTATTTTGGAGGTTCACTATTTGAGAAGAGATATACTTGAGTATACCTACAGTGTCCAAGTCGTAGACGTGTAATAATAATTTGAAATCTTCTACTTCTAGCAGTGGACTTCCATGAAAAAATGTTACTTTTGATGGTTCTAAGTTTAGAACTGGAATCATTTCATTCCCGATTCCACGCACTAATACTTTATTTTTGAAATAAACTTATAGATCGCTAGCGACACTCTGACAATTTGTTTCTGATGCGTCATTGGTGATAGCGTTATGCGCACTAGTATCTGCTTGTTCATTCTCTTCCATATTATATAAGATTCCCTTCCACAAGGAGTGGATTATAGTGCAGTATAGATTAAAATTCCTTTGAAATATTGTTGAGAACTTCTCGTAGTGAGGTTTAAGGGCACGTTGCTTATTATTGTAATAATTGATATATTTGTTATTAAAAGTATTACAGAAGAGAGGTTTGTTTATATTTAAGGCTATAGATGTGGCATTCGTTAGAGCTAAGTATATTCTTCGGTAGTTTAGAGGTGGTTTGCCGGCTTCGCTCAGTATTCTTTTGGAAGGAGTCGTCCGGAAGGCTCCAAATGCAATACTAATACATACCAGCGTTATGTATGCTATCGAGTCTTTTAAGTAATGTTTTTGAAACAGATGCATATGCACTGATCCATAATCTAATTTAGATCTAACTAGTGTTTTATAAATTCTCAACAGAGTTTCCTGATCTGATCCCCTGTGTCGGTTTGTTAGAGTTTTCATTATATTCAGTCTTCTGTGACATGGTAAAACTGTTTGTTTTATTTGTTCCTGCCACGTAAGCTGTTATACAAACCACATACCTAAGAACTTTGTCGTTGGTTTAAATGAGAGAATAGTCTTGTATAATTTTAAGGTAATGAGCGTTGATAATACCTTTTTGGAGAAAAGTATTCCTGATGTTTTTGCTACTGAGAATTTGAATCCGGACGTCAGAGATCATTGATCTGATTGGTTTAGAAAATACTGCAAAGAGTTTGTCATTGATGTGGTACAAATGAATATAGTACAAGAAACAATACTTGATATATTAACATCGGAAATTACAAAAACAATCAATACGATAAAGCTACGAAAAGTCTAAGGTCTAGATGAAATATACGTAGAGATGTTAAAGCTTATCAATGAAAAAAATCTTCAGAAGTTAACAACATACATTATTTAACAACATATATACCACTGGAATCTTCCCAGAAGACTGGCTTAGATCGACATTTATATCTATACCCAAGAAAAATAAGGCAATAGATGCTCACAGTTCAGATTAATTAGCCTAATGAGCCATTTTCTGAACATTTTACTTAAAATTGTACATCAGCGAATATAAAGAGAATGCAAAAGACACCTGAGCGACAATCAATTTGGATTTCATATGGGGCTTGGTACAAGGAAGGCATTATTTGGCATCCAGATATTACTACAAAAATGAGGAGATCAGCGAAAATACATGTTTCTCTGTTTTATCGACTACGAAAAAGCGTTTGATCGAGTAAAACACACAGAACTCATAGAAACCCTAACACAACATGGTATAGACCATAACACTGTGGCGCTTATTAAAAAACTATATTGGGATCAAATGGCGTCGATCAAAATAGACAATCGTCTGACAACAGAATTGTCAATAAAAAGAGGAGTTCGTCAGGGCTGTGTACTTTCTACACTGTTATTTAATATATATTCCAAAAAAATCTTTCAAAATGACCTCGAAAATATTGAAAAAGGAATAACCATCAACGGAGAATACGTAAACAACTTAAGATACGCAGACGACACCGTCATTATTGAGGACAGTGCTGAGGGATTACAACGACTTTTGAATGTCATAACCAGGGAGGAAGATAGCTTGGGACTAAATATAAACACAAATAAAACAAAAGTAATGGCTGTTACATGTGCACCAAATGTCGACATTATTATTCGTTTCTATAACAAACATATAGAACCAGTACAAAGATTCCAGTATCTTGGTTGCTGGATAACAAATGATCTTAACCACGAGGTCAAAATACGCGCTCATATAGAATATGCTAGGTCCGCATTTCAACGAATGAAAAAATTCCTAATAAACTGTACGTTATCGTTAGATATCCGATACCAATTTGTAAAAACATTTATTTATTCCGTATTGCTATACCTTTGAGATGTAGGTTTTTCGAGGGATGCTGAAGATCTCTTGGACAGAGCACGTGACCAACAACGATGTGCTAAGAAGAATGGGCACTGAGAGAGAACTCCTATATATATAAAAAAAAACAGAAAAACGAGTTATCTAGGACATATTTACAGAAGAAAAAAATACAACTTCCTACGACTTATAATGAAAGGGAAAGTGGTAGAAAGAAGAGGTCCAGGAAGAAGAAAATGCTCCTGGTTGAAGAATATAAGAGACTGGACAGGTATGGACACACATTCGATACTAAGAACAGCTCAAGATAGAGAGCAATTTGCTCTAGTTATAGCTAATCTTCAGTAATGGAGAAGGCACCTTAAGAAGAAGAAGAATAGTGTCGGGCTTAGGACTGAACCTTGGGGCGTTCCCTTTTCTTCATTTTTCTCCTCTATTGTTATGGGCAATTTCCACGAATATTTCATGAATTTAATTCTTTTGATCAGATGTAGTTGGTATTACAAAAAAGGAAGAAAACACCATTCCAGATCAAGATCACCACACAAGAGAAAAAAGATAAAAATAAACATAAGAAGAGAAGTAGCAGCTTGTAACGATATATTTTGCCTACCTTAGAGTAAGATCATGGGAGTTGAAAATTGGGGACAGAACTACTGGGTGTAGAGATGGGGCAAACAAAATAATCGATACTGGTGCGTACGGTACTCAGGGGTTTATTGGAGAGCTGGGTCGTGGATAAGTTAAATCGAAGGGGTCAGATTGGGGTAACTACAAAAATGAAACAAAGGGATACTTACATAAATCTCCTGAAACAAAATGAAAAAAATATGGACAGACAAAAAAAGGACTTCAAGCAATTTTCTGATAAGGGCGCCGCTTCGAAGTATCCTAGTTTGCTGAAAGAAAGAAAAGTTCTTCTTTCCTAAAATCAAGAATACACACAAGGGTTAGGAGACTTTTCTAAATTAAAACAAAAAAAAATGAATCAGAGAAATAAACATTTATTTTCGTCTCAAACAAACAGTTATCAAAAATACAAATGGCACAAAAAATATACTATATACATAGTTGCAATATACAAAATTAGAAAAAACTTACGTGTCTATCTGTTTACAAAGGAGATTGCTACAAAATCTTTCAAAATGGTTATTAGGTTATATATTAATGTGACCAAAATAGATTATTGAAATTAAGGATATCCTTGTAAATGAAAATATCGTAGAATAATTAATTTTTAAAATTTAACCTTTTCTATAAAACATCTTTTCTATATAATCAAATTAAATTTTTTTTACAATAAACAAACAGGTTAAAGCTAACTGTCATATGTTAACACAACATTTTAAGACAGAATAAAATTATGTCAGTTTAAACCACGCCCTAGTAAAATATAATTTTAATTATTACAGATTCTTAAATTTTAAACGAAAGCAATTATTGATAGAAAATGTCCATTTTACTTTGAAAATTAATTATTTAATGTTACCTTAAATCACATATTTCACACTTAACTTTTAAAAAAACTTGCTAATATCTCTGGGGTATCTATCTGGACATCATCAACGAAAAGCTTTATCCATTGGAGGCTGAAACTGGCACACTGGCACGTTCAAATACAAAACTGCTCCAATAAAATGCTAAATAAGCTGAAAAGGCATTTGCACAAATCTTGGAAAAACGGGATTTCTTAAAAAAAAACAGGAACCAAACTTGTTCATTTTTCAAACATTCGAAAATCTTCAGAAAACCTAAGCAGTGGTCACTCTTTCAAATATGACACATTACATGAGTGAAAGTCCACTATTTCTGGCGAATTAATGCCGGGTCACTACCTAACAGTTAACCTCCGTTCTGTTCAAGCCATTCTTCCCACTTGAAACTCTTCGTTCGATTTACAAACGAAACGCCAATCCTTCCCATCACGTCTCCCGATGCTAGTTCGTCCACCGAACTCAAAAAAACATCCTTTTTGCCTATCTCATCAAACAACCTTGAAACATTTCCCGTTTGAAATCCACTTCTAAATACATTTAACTTCTACGCCGAATTAAACCGAAATTTAACCTTGAGACATTCCTCAACTGACTTCAAGAAACGTAAAAAAATAAACGCAATTTTTAACACATACATAAATTATTTCTTGTTAATTTTGAATGCGTACAAAAGACAAAAACTCAGGGGCGTACTACAAAATTTAATACAGAAAATATTTTATAGTTAAACAAATTTAAAACGCTACAATTTCGTCTAGTTCCAGCTCTGCCTCAGGTGAAGAAGAAGGGAAAAAGATAAAAGAAAAAAGCCCAAGGAAAAAAGATGTGTTGATAGACAGTCAAGCTCTAGATCGCATTGGAGTGGACGACATTTTCGATTTCGATCAAAGTCTAAACATATCATAAGCTACGCCACCATTTAAAGTCTCCAGCTACACATCATCACTTTCATTATTCTCCTTGTTGGCTGGCAGAAAATTCTTCTTAAGGACCCTGTCACAAAAGTGATGACGGCAAAAGGTAAAAACATTCCCGTAAACTTCGCTGTTTGAAATTTTACTATAAACAGGGACCAACTACATCTGATGAAAATAACGAACAAGAAAAAGACTGTGAACTAAGGAAAAAATTTGAAAACTTGGAGGCTGGGGATACTAATCCTTCAGCTCCTACCGTGACAATATCAACAGAATACTAATATCAGCTTACAATATGTCAAGCAAAAATTGATCATGGTTTTGAATATAAACAACAGAAATATCTTTTATGATTTACTAACTGAAAATTAAATGCATTTCTGTACAAAGACCGAAGATGGAGATGACCAATTCAATAATAATTCTTTGAAATTATTGAATTTCCAACAAGTATTAAGTGCCTTTTTCAAATTAAAAAATATTGCAATAGAGTGTTGCTTGGTTGCTAGCGCTTCATGAATGTTATATTTTAGATCAAGTATATTGTCAATATCCGAGCGATTTTGTCTAAAACCATATTGTGCCAAAATTAAGCGCTTTGATGATTCTAATGTCCACGTTAATATAAGATTTACCTCTTTTTCCATTAATTTGCTTATAAGACCTGTATGAATCAGGTTCTAGGTTTGATTTTTGAGAGTTTAAAAAAGGTAATGTAATAGCTTTAGACCAAATTGAAGAAAGTAAGTTAAAAAGTTAAAGAATAAATAATTTTTCTGAGTAAGCAAGATGTTTTAAAAATATAACCGGGACGTCGTGTGGACCCTTGCTAGTGTTTTTTAATTCGGAAAAAGCATTTTCTAGTTCTTCAATAGTGGAAGTACATCTAATGGATCGTTTAAATTATCATTTGCAAAGATATCAGTATTTTCTTTTTAAGGAATGTATCATTGTAGTTACTATTTGAAGACATTTCTTTCAAAGTTTCAGTTAAGGTGTTAACTATTTCATAAGGAGAAAATGAAATCTTTTTGTCTACTTTTAATTTAGAAATAATTGACGTGTATTTAAAACAAGAGATATTTATTTTTTTTTCACACTTCGCTGACAGGAGTTGAGGAATACATTTCTAAAAAATTCTTGGACCAGGAGGACTTTGTTCTTAGCTTGTTTTATAATGAGCTGTGTCTTAGCTTTAAGTGATTTGAACATGATTTTATTTTCAGGTGTTTTATATCTCTTATATTTATAAAATGAAGTTTTCCTTGCTCTGATAGCAGCCCCACAAGGTACAGAAATCTGATTATTTATTGTCTTTTTTGTTTTCCCAACAAATTGCTTAGCACTACTCATAATATTGCTATTTAAATTCTTTAAGGACCCATCATTGCTTTCAGCCATTTTTACCGATCGGCGGTTTCAGTTTTCCATCTGGGTAAGAAAATCTCATGGGTCAGAGCCATAAAATGTTTTATTACTATAGGATGATGGTCGCTCCCATACGTGTATTGTAAAGCTTCTCCAAAATAATCGAGGTGTGAGTGCATTGTCGCAAAGACAGATTAATTGCTGGAGAATCTCCGGTATTAGTGTTAAATCTGGTTGGAGATCCGTCATTAAGAAAAGTCGATTGAAAATCTGAAATTATATTTTCGACAATTCTTCCTTTAGCAACTGTATAACTGAAGGGAATTCCCAGATAATATTATAACTATTCAAATCGCCCACAATAATGCAGAGGATGATATTTGATTGAATAAATCCTTTAAATCGTTGTACGTATTTGGTGACTGAATGGTAAGTAAACATTGCAAATAAAATACCTGTTTGATGATTGTATTTCTCCACCTTCAACTTCCAGATTTGTAGTTACTGGAGCAAGGCGATGGAAAAATCCATCAATATTCCATTGAAGTAGAGAGGTTAATCTTAATGTTGGCTTAATTGAAATGTGTCTCTTTCCCAGTCCGATGCCTCATTACCAAGGGAATTATAGATTTTTTTCCTTAAGGACATGAATTTGCATTTTATGGATATTTCCTTTAAATGGGGGTAAACTTGACTGAGCCTATCGGGCAAGGCTAGTAAGTCTGTGATATATTCCTGAATCGTGCTTATAGAATCTATTGATCCAGTGATATTCATTAGTAGCACGTAGTTTGAGATGATTTTAAATTTATAGTTTCTTCTATCTATAATTGATGTAGGTTTATTTATTTAAAAAATGTAAAACTGGCCAAAAATAAAAGATAAAGGAATAAAAATAACAGTATAAAATTTATTTAACAAAAACTAACATTCATAAATTAAGCGACTTCGTTTTTGACGGGATTGTGACAAATTTTTTCAGTCCTGTCTTCGACGGCCTTGTGGAATTTGGCAAAGGAGCTGAGAGTCACGGGATTCTTGCAGTACTGGCCGTGGAAGTCGGAGGAACATTTCTTGATTTTGGGCAAAACTCTGAAATCAAAACATCTTTTGGTTAGCCAAAATATTTCAAACTAGTTCTTCACTAGCGAAGAAATTACAAGAAAGATTAGCTATGAAATGTTTAGTTAGGGTTTTTTAAAATTTATGATTTGCTGTGTCGGTATTTTTGTATTGTTTTCTGTTTTAATGATTTATACCAAATCCTGCATCTCCTGTGTGTATACTATGAAACCTATTATTCTTTGTACTATTTATCTTTTCTGCTATAAAGATAAATCTTTTTACTAAACCATAAGTTTACATTGATACTATAACTTTTACCAATTTCTATTATTCCATTGGCCCTCCCCCAAATATAAAGCATTTATTGCTTACTAATGTATTTTTTTATGATGCTCTTTCTGGATATGCTCAAGTATTGCTTAAACACATCTATTTGCACCATAGCTTAGACTATTTTTAATAAAGATGTCATATATGTTACATTTTCTTTTCCAATAATTCAACTTCTTCATGTATCATGTAAGTATCTGTCATGTTCCCTGTTGTATCAAATGTGACTCTCTAAGTATCTGTAGATACTAAGTGTTTTTATTTCTTTAGCTTTTGTCAGGATTTTTTATGGTCAGTTGCTATTTTGGTCTATTCTGATCTGTGTCTCACTGATCACTACACTACTCAGTGAACAGTGTAGTAGTGACTGGGCTCGGGAGACTGAGACCTCGGAAGCCCTGAGGAAGACATCATAGAGGATGTCGAAAGCTCGGCAAAATGGATATCGACGCGGTTCAACCCGAAAGACTGGTTAGTTTGATATTAATTTTTGTAATAATATTCTTCTTCTTCTAAGACGTCTATACTGTTCTTTTTTTCTCCGTGTACAACCCGCGTCGATGGTTTTTTGATATGCTGCGTTCTTTCTATTTGTGGCTATTTCGCACTTATGATCAAACCCATGATTTATTTTTTCTGACTTGGTTTTGCCCAACATTTCAACCGATTTTTGTATTTTGCTTCTATCGATTTAATGCTTGTGCCACATATATTGTAAACAGCGCCAGCGTTGATGGTATACAGAAGTTTAACGCAAACCTTTATTCCCTTTATGTTTATTTAAATTATTATAGGTATATAAGTCTACCCCTTACAATTTTGCAAATATAGATACTATTCCTATAACAAAAATAACAACTTATCTACACACACTCAACAGATATCAACTATTTTTTTAATAAACGAACTTAAAATACCATTATGTCGTGAGCATTCCAGATTTTACCATTTTTATGGTAAAATAGATAAAAAATTCATAGATTTTTCAATTCTAGAATAGGTACATGCATTTTGTTCCTGCTACTATTTAACATCTATTCTGAGTTCGTTTTCAATAAAGCAGTGGATAATGTTCTATGTGGTATAAAAACGAATGGCGTCAATATTAATAATTTGATATATGCGGATGACACAGTGTTACTTGCAATCAATTACGAAGAACTTCAACATCTAATTAATAGAATTACCACAACGTGTGATGAATTTGGCCTTATGCTAAACACCGCAAAGACAAAGGTGATGGTCGTCAGTAAAACGCCAATACAACCGGAAGTGGTAACAGCTTATGGTGAACAACTGGAGAGAACTAACAGTATCACTTACCTTGGTTGTAATCTAAATGAGAACTGAGACATGAGCAAAGAAATTAGAATACGGATAGAGAAGGCCAAAGCTGCATTCTTTAAGTTGAAGAAACTGTTATGTGGAAACAATATTACTTTAAGTCTGAAAATTAGATTAGTGAGATGTAATGTTTTCTCTACTCTTTTGTATGGTGTCGAAGGTTGGACTTTGACGGATACACTTCTCAAGCAACTGAAAGCCTTCGAAATCTGGGTGTATCGGAGAATATTACGAATAAGTTGGGTGGATAGAGAAAATTGAAATTAATTTACAATTATAAAATAAAAAAAATTATACTCACGTGCAAATGTTCTCAGTGGTAGGAAGTGGTTTCTTTTGATCCCAACTTTCTACTTCAGTGGCGACGGCTTTGCAGGAATCTGTTTTTTCAATTCTTCCGAAACTCTTCCATTGGCATGGGTTGAACAATTCTGAAATAAGTAAAAATGATAATTTTATAATTATTGATAAATCTGGTTTTGACTAATTTATAAAAAGTTCTATATAAACGCTAAGGAAGTCAATTTTTTAATTTTAATTCAACGGAATCAATGAAACCAAAATTCACAACGTAGAAGTGTCGCATTTAATACCCACCGAGTAGCATTTAATTGCTGCATTTTTTCTTCCACCCTGCATATCATAAAAAAAATTGCTTAGGTTTCAATTTGCCTCTTGCAAATTATCAAAAGAGAAACATTATAATTTCGAATGAGAAGGCATACTCGAAATGTTTATTTACAGAGCCCAATTTCCTCGGAATAAAGTAACCGCTGTCTTGGTTTTTCTCTGTAAATCTCGCGAGTTCCTATTAAACACTTTTAATTTGCATCTTAAAATCTTCGAATCGAACAAACATAATGCAAATGTTTATTTTTATTGACAATTGCCGAGAAGCAAACTGGGCTAAGAGAATTTTATCTATTAGTAGTTATCATTGATGTGAGGTAATAAGCATTTATTTTGAAATCAGTCTGACCTGGCAGCCATCCAGTGAGTAACACCAGTACAGGCGGCGCTGTGATTTCTTTTTTTTTATTAAATTTGCAAATTTACAATCTGCTATTACAAGCTAATAGTAAATGTGATTATTGCAAATACATGAGAGGAGAAATTATCCATTGATAACACTCCCAATACTAACACTAACAAATTAAATTAATGTATGATTATAATTTAACACTAAAATTGAAATGAAAAGTAAAATTAAAATTGAAATTAGTGTATAAAGTCTGTTGGCCACTGTCTCTTCAATATTCGTCTGACTTCTGGTTGGAGGTGTAGTTGTCTTGCTTCCTCGTTGGGGTGGGTTGGCAGATGTTCTAAATAATTTCTTGTTAGTCTGCTGATTTCGTCTTCAACGAACGGTATACCAGAGTCATCATGCAAAGTTTTGTTACGAACGTATCACGGCGCGTTGAAAATCATTCTGAGTATTTTGGATTGGATTCTCTGAATGATTTTGGTATTAGAAGGCTTTGCACAGCCCCATAGTTGCACTCCATATGTTCGTATAGGCTTTATTATGCACTTATACAATAGAAGTTTATTATCTGTTAATAACTGTGATTTTCGGCCTATTAGCCAATTCATTTGATGTATTTTCATGTTGATTTGGATCTTTTTGGACAAGATGTGTGCTTTCCAAGTGAGTTTTTGATCAAGTGTCATTCCCAGGTATTTGACTTCTGTTTTTACTGGTAGTAGTATATTGTTCAGTCTGATTCTCGGACATATGATGTTAGTATTGGTGAATGTAATTTGATTAGACTTATTATGATTAACTTTGATTTTCCATCTATTCATCCAGTCTTGTACTAGGTTCAGGTGTATTTGAAGGTTTCCTGATGGTACTTGGGGGTCATCATCGATGGATATTATGGCGGTGTCATCTGCGAACATGGCTACTGTGGTCGTATTTGTTGTTAAGATATCAGCAGTGTATATGAGGTACAGGAGGGGACCCAGGACACTTCCTTGAGGGACACCGGATTTTATGGGATAGTAATGAGAGGTTTTTGTAAGGAATTTGACTTGAAAGTAACGTTCTGTGAGGTATGATGTTAAAAGAAGATAGTGGGGGTGGGAAAGGATGACTTAAGTTTATATAGGAGGCCGTCATGCCAAACACGGTCGAAGGCTTGTTCTATATCCAGGAAGGCAGCAGTGCAAATTATTTTCTCTTCGAGGCATACATTAATGTTGTTTACAATCCTATGGCACTGTTGTAGAGTTGAATGGGCTTCGCGAAAACCAAACTGGTGGTTTGGGATCACTGAATTAATTTCGATGTCTTGTGAGATTCTTTGGAGCAGAAGTCTTTCAAAGATTTTTGACATTATTGGAAGTAAGCTGATTGGTCTATATGAAGTAATAGTATTTGGTGGTTTATTTGGTTTACTTATCATAATTATTTGTGCAAACTTCCAATTAATCGGGTAGTAGGCTAATCTTATGATACTATTATATATCATTGTTAGTAGGACAATTGCTTTTCTCGGTAATTTTTTTAATATTAGCCCGGTGATCATGTCGAAGCCTGGTGCTTTGTAGTTATTGCATCTAGAAATTTGTTCTTTTACATTATTAGGAGTAAAGCATTTGATTGGTAGCATCATTGGGCATGGAGTGTCTAAGAAGTTTTTAACTTGTTCTTCGTCATTATGGTTATTAAGTTCAGGTGCACCAAAAACGTGTGAAAGATGTGCAGCAAAGATTCATGCCTTTTCTTGTTCAGTTTTTCCCCAGCTTCCATCGTCTTTCCTTAGAGGAGGTATGTGCTGTGTAGGCCACTTGAATGATTTCGTTGCTTTCCAGATGCTGTGGTCTTCTTTTGACAGGCTGTCGATGAATAGTGCAAATGTATCATTCCTCTCGTCTTGTAGAGCAGTTTTAAGTTGCCGTGTTAATCTATTGTATTCATTTTTGTCTATAGGATTGCGACTTATTTTCCATATGCGCCTGGCTCTTCTTTTTTGTGCAACAAGACGTTATATATATATAATATATATATATATATATATATATATATATATATATATATATATATATATATATATATAATATATATATATATATATATATATATATAATATATATATATATATATATATATATATATATATATGGGTATATTGGTGTCACTTGGTTCTTTGTCATTCTGACGGGGTATAGCTATTTCTGCGGCTGCATGTATAATTTGGGTGAAAATTAGCACAGCATTATCGATATCGTCTGGTTGCTTTAATCTTGTATTTAAATTTACATTTTCATTTATGTAAGACTCGAATACATTCCAGTTGGTCTTTGATGTTGTTAACTTAGGGATATTCGGACGTTTTTTAATTTGCGTAGATAGTGTTACAATTATGGGAGTATGGTCGGTGGACAGATCCCAGGATGATTGTATGTCAAAATAATTTAAGGCCATGTTATGACGGATAAAGAAGTCGAGTAAATCTGGGATTTTGTTTGGATCTGATGGCCAGTAGGTGGGTTGCCCTATAGATAAGTAAGAGCTGTTGTATTAGCTATGGCTTGTCTAAGATTTCTTCCCTTTGTCGTACATAGTCTCGACCCCCAGTCTGTATGCTTGGCATTCCAGTCACCTCCAATTAAGAATTTGTTTGATAGATGTTTAAAGAAGTCTTCATATTCTGCTGTGGAGATATTATGCCTTGGAGGGCTGTACATTGCTGCGATGTTAAAAGACTGTGGTTGAGAACTGATACAGATTACTGCAGCTTGTATTTTTTCCATCTGATACATTGTTTTCTCATAGTGTGGTATGACGTTACGTACAATAATAGCAGCGCCACCGTGTGCTGTTCCATCAGGATGGTTAGTGTTGTAAATGGAGTAATGAGGGATCTTAAACATCGTTCTGTCAGTGAAATGGGTTTCCGAAATAAGTATAACATCAATTTTGTTATGTTCAAGAAAGTTAGTACCTTCTGTGTTATGGTTGCCTAGGCCGTTGGCATTCCATTGTGCAATTCGTAGTGACTTAAGTTCCATTACTGAGTTTATTTATTACTGTGGAAAGCATGTTTAAGATTACGCTATTTTGATTTATTAGTTGTGAAAACATAGATTTGAATACTTTAAGGAAACTCTTCATCATCTCTACAATGTCATTGTGTGTATTGCTTCCATGTGTTCCACTTGTTACTTGAGCGTAAGTTGCATGATTTTGGTTGTATGAGTTTGTATTATTATGGAAATTATTTACATTTGTTCCACCTGTTGCTTGTGTGTAAGTCGCGTGATTTTGATTGCTTAAGTTCGGATTATTCTGTACTGTATTTCTGTTATATGGTAGTTGATTGTTCGCTGGAGTGTGCGATGATAATCCTCTTGCTCTGTTTCTACTGCTAATTAACTCTTTATATACTATAAATCCTTTGTAATTTGCAGTGTGTGCTCCATTGCAGAGAGCGCATATGGCAGGTGTGTCCCTAGGTTTTTTACAATCGGCTGACATATCGTTGCCTCCACATTTGACACAGTGATAAGGTCTATTACAGTTTGTCTTAGAGTGTCCATACAATTGGCATCTGGTACACTGGACAATATTATTCTTTTTATACGGTGGCTCAATAACTATTTTCGCGTTGTTTATCAATTGAATTTCATATATTATATATATTTCATATATTTCATATTATTTTGATTAGGTTCTATATCGACATAGAACATCATTAGAGGGTTCTTACTTACTCTGTGTTTTATATTTATAATATTGCGTACTAAATGCCCGTGTTTTTCTATTTAACTTTTTAATATATTAATGGGCACTGTATGATATAGATTACGAATTAAAACTCTGTATGCTCTATCCTCTTTCATCTGGTAAATATCATGCACAATTTTTTTGCTGTTTAAATGTCTTACTAGTTTTCGGTATGTTTCAGAGTCCCGGGAATTTATTTTTATTTTATTGTTTTTTAATGTTGTACAATAAAATGTCTCTGTTTTTGCTACTTCCAATAAATTATTAACCATTTTATTGTACTCAGTAACACCATATATAGAAATTGGTGGGGGTTTATTGGTTGCTGGAGTTTTGTTGGTATTTTCTGTACTGTTATTGTTGTCCTTTTCGTTTTTATTTTGTAGAATCTGAAATTTATTGCTGGTTACTACCGTGTCTTCGTTTTCTGTTGGTGTCGGAGGATTAATTTTACGTTTTTTGTTACTATGTTGTATAGTTTGCCATTCCGATGACTCAATGTCGCTGATTTCCTCTAAAGATTCTTCACTTTGTAATGTATGTGTCATCTCAATAGAATCATAAGCTTCATTTTGAGGTGTAGATAATGTGGGATTTATTGTAGGATTGTATTGACAGTTTGAGGAAGATTGTAAAAGTACCTACTTGGTTAGGAACATAATATATTGTTGTTGGTGGATTGTTTAAAATTTGTGCAGAATTTGGTTGTGAATTTTGTGGAAAAAGGACATTTGGGCATTCTGGTTGAATTTGCTGTTGCTGATATTGAGTATTTATAGGTTGACCATTAACAGTAGCAGTATAAAAAGGAACACTCACCGATAAATCTGGTGGAGCACTCATTTTAATTGTTAAAACTGTATATTTGTATTTTTAAATAGTTTATAAATAGTATATCCACTTGATACACGATAATGACGGTAAAAACGCGGCCGGAGCCCGTTTTTAATCGCCACTGTAAACTTTCGCCTAATTTGTATCGATGCGATGTTTGCAGGTCGAGAGTCAAATGAATACTGCTGTGATTTCTTGAGTATATAAAAATATACCTTTGCCTGGTACAGTTGTGCTTTTGTCAGTATTTTATATAATCGACCCCTCAATGCTTTGTCAATATAGGTGTTAGACATTTTTGTGTTTTAATTTTGAGAAATCTGTTATGGTTCCTTTTTAGTTCTATGGATTCTTACTTTGAGCCTGAATCAGCCAGTTATTCCTTTTTCGAGAACTCAGTATAGATTTCAGTCGAAAAAGTGTAGTCAAACAAACCCAAAGTTCACAGTTAGTTATTGTATTTAACTTTTAATTTTTATGCTGGGAATCACTATACTGGACAGACAATACGCATACGCATATGACACACTTATACTAACGGTGAATTAAGTTGAAATAATAACCATCACTATACGGTTAAGCCTGATAATAAAAGAATTCGGACTTTATATCAACAACGGAAAAACAAAAATAATAATCGTACATAGAGCAAATAATAATCTAACACACATACACCCAGTGGCGAATTTCGAAGTGGTATACAGATTTGAATTCTTGTGTTCCCTGATAACCAATAATGGCAATTGCTCCTCAGAAATTAAGCTTAGACTAGCAATAGCCCGAACCGCAACATCTAAATTGATTTAAATATGGAAAGACCAAACAATAATAAGGAATACTAAGCTCAGGTTGGTCAATGCCCTTATTTTTGCCATTGCTACATACTCAGCTGACACATGCATTTTCAAAAATATCAATAGAAGTTAGATCGAAACCTTCGAAATGAAGGTTTATAGATGAATTATACGCGTGTCCTGAATAGAATGTAGAAACAACCTGTTAATTCTAAAAGATCTTCACATAAAAGACAGACTATTAAAAAAAGTTAACCAAGCATACCTAATTTACTTCGGCTATATACCTATTAGAACGGTTATTATTTTAGCCGGAACACGGTTAATCCGGCACTACCCTGGGGTCTTCTGGCTTAGTATCCCACTCGGCCGAAAGATACCAGGGTGTCTTGTTCCGTGACGTAGAGGTCCAAAAAAGATTTTCCCTACCGTTGCATGTCAGAATTCACTGGATACCTTCTTAGGATCTTACTGGAATCTGGCAATACGGCAATTAAAAAAAAAGCTATTGGAACGGGGACCATGAAACTGGTAGTAGAGGGAAAGGTCAAAGGCAGAAAAGTCAAGAGGAAGATCTCTAACACGATGGGTAAACCAAATGAAGACTCTGGTGGAAAACTCCCATGAAGCCGTTTATCTGACACAGCATCGCAGACAATGAAGACAGCAAGATAATAATATTTAAAGTGTCACCACGCCCTAAGAGGGGCTTAAAAAATGAGGAGAAGGATTTCTGCTTAAGAAAATTACACAAAATTGCAAGAGCTGAAATTTTGCCAATATTAAAATTTACAGTGTTTTAAATGATATATATCATTGTAGCATTACTACATTGCAAGACGATAAAGTTTAAAGGAGAAACTCCTTGATTGTATTGGTGTAATGGCTAAGTAAAATTGATACCATATATTGACATCCAAAAATAGATTATTTTACTTTATCCACAATCTATCCTACATATTTACAATCATCTCCATCTCACAAACCAGAAAGTTTAAAAAATAACTTACCCAACATTTCTTCTACTGTAGAACTGCAAGCTTGTTTGAGAAGACCGAGACTAATTCCTTCAGCTAAGGCGGGAAGTTCTCTGGATTCTTCTGGTAAACATCCGCTTACTAATTCAATGACTGGCTTGGCGCATTTCTCAACTGCATGTTGAACGGTGGAGCAGACGGTATTAGATCCAATGGAGATGCCTTCGAGGCAGTTGCTGAGGTCTTCGATGGTGTCCTGCAAGTAAGTTTGTTTTAAATTATTAGTAAAGTAAAACGGGGTGAGACAATAGAAATAATACCGTAGTAAAGAAGAGAAGGTGCTTTTTATATTTAATTATATATTCTATGGACCTGACCTATTGTTGCGTGATTATTTCTAAACATAAAATTAGTAAAGTGGGGTAATACATTTTTGTTCCACTATAGATTTTAGTTTTGTTTAACAGGAGCAGCTTTTCATACAATTGGTAACAATGATATTGGCCGATATGATGACATCTTATTTGATGGTTTTCCAGGTTTTACTATTATAGTTTTTTGCTGCTACCTTCCTGCATCTTAGGAAGTACTGAAGTGTAAAAGATGCATTAAATCTATTATAAGCTGAACATCGGATGTAAGGGACAGTCATGGGCAACCCGTAATGTCTTTTATCCATATGTTAGCCTCACCTGCCCGTGTAGTGATCTTGATTTCCTTCGGTGCGTCCTGCTAGATTACAAATGGGACTCTGACGTCCTAGTAATTGCCGGTATAAGTGAGTGCTTCTTCTTTGAGTGCCTCTTTTATCGGAGATTGGATATCATTAGGGCGATTCTAATTTTATTTACTGCTGTTTAATATTAATTCGTTAGTGGAACAACCAAACCACTCTCTTAAATTTTTCATCCAGGACATTCTTCTACGGCCTGGATTTCTGCGTCATCGGATTTTTCCTTTCATTGTATTTTGTAGGAATGTGTACTTTTGTCCTCTCATCAGGTGTCCTAAGTATTCAAGCTTTCTCTTTTTTATATTCAGTATAACTTCTGGATCTAAAAACTTTAGAAGTTTTCCTATAGAGAACAAACTTTTAACATTCCACGTTGCAACTCTTAAAGTTGTTGGTTTCTGCGCTCTTGTACAAGGATTTCGCATGTTTACGACTAAGTGAGCCTTGTAGTCTTGTGTTTTTCTCACTCTGCGGGATCTTGATATCCTATTCCCATGATCAGTAGGGTTTCCAGTATTTTTGGTGTACACCATAATGACTTAACTAGGGGAATTCTATGAGTCTTTAATGCAGTGGTTCCCCGTTGCCTTCTGCATCCATCCGCCGTTGACCATTCTTGGTTCATCAGCCTTCGAGACCGATTTCTCGATCTCAGGACAAAAGAGTGCCCTTCCACATACTAGCTCATCCGCCCCAAGCCGTTGGGCAGTACATGGTGGGATCGCTTATACCGGCAATCATTTGGTGAATTACCTGTTGGTCCACGGGAGGTATTTTATTTTCCTCCTACCCACCGGTAAACCGGGTCGGGCATTCCCCTATCCGCTACCTGAGGACGCTCTCTCTAGGGGTTACAGGTTCCCCAGAGAGCCGGTATAAGAAAGTAAGGTCACCACTTACTGACCAACAGCTGAAAGCGGATAAGTTGATAAGTAGCAGAGCACTCTTTTGTACTGAAAATTAGACATGGGCTTCAAAGGAGGATAAACTACCAAGTAGTCAAGAGCATAAGGAAGTGGAAAGCCAAGGAGTAACTATAACATTATATATATATATATATATATATATATATATATATATATATATATATATATATATATATAGTGAAACCATTATGACAAGTAGAACATTTAAATATAGTATGGTATGCGACTTGACTAGCAATAGGCATCGTCGAATTTCCGAGCTTGACAATGAAAAATCAGAGAAAACCAAGTATTCACCTAAAGGAGAAAACAAACGGCAACTCAAAATACGAATTATTTGGTTACCTCTTAGAAATACGAACAAAATATTACTGATAATAATTCGTACATGTAAAGAACTACAAACAAAAAACTACTTACATTCATTTTCTTTTCAATATCTTCGCACTTGGCCTTGTGTCTGTTGAAATCACGAGAAAGATCTTTTATGACTTGGTAATCGGATTCTTTAAGGAACTTTTGCAGTGCCTTTGACACCAATCTTCGTTCGCCGATGTATGGTTTGACGATTTCACCAATCTGCACATCTGCTTCCTCGATCACTCCTCGATGTCTTCCACCATCGCTGGATTTTGGTGCGCAAACTACACAGCTTGCAGCTGTAAGAAGATAATATTTTTAAAAATTAATCGAAAATGCAAGTAGTTGGCTATATAACATAGTTAAAAAACTTATAGTAAATATAAGTAAATAAAATAGAAACATTAAAGAAATCTTCAAAGTCAATAAATTAAAAGATCTGGCAAAAAGAAAACAGTACAAAAAAGCTTACAATTTTTTGCAGGGTGGTGCGGTCCGCGGAATTTACCCAATTTTAGCAACTCATTGTACCTTAAAAAAGTATACTATAGCTACTTTTTAGTTCTCTAGCTACGAGATGTCCCTTAAGGGTCAAAATAGCCCTTTTTACCCTATATTCGAAGAGCTACATCTCTGAGCTAAGTGGACCGATTTTAACTCACAAGGTCTATTTTTTTTGCTATAATGTTAACTTTTTGATGACATAATTTACAATACCGCAAAACATAAGTTTTATTTTATAGATCAGGAAGAATTAAAAGAAAACTTAAAAAATTGTATGATTTTCAATTAATTATTAAAATTTAACTAAAGAAGGAAAAAATGGCAGAAACCAGTGAGTTAAAGTATTTTTAAATTTTTCAAATATGGCAAAAGTTATTGCCATGGCAATATTTGGAACCTAACATGAAAATTTACTTTTTATTAATAAAAACTTTCTTTTCAACAGAATGCCGAATAAAAAGAGAGCCCTGTGGTCTGAGGCGAATCTCGTTGCAGCGTTAGAAGCAATAAGAGCTGGAAGCAGTATAAGCCAAGCTTCATTACGATACGAAATACCTCGAACAACACTTAGACTACATTATCGCAGCCAAAATTCGGTTAAACGACTTGGAACGAAAAGTGTTTTAAGTTTTGAACAAGAAAGAGATCTAGTTCGTAGAATTCATAAACTATAATAATTCTTTTACTGATACACCTAAATTAGCAGGAAGGAAATGACTGAAATTATTCTTTGCAAGACATCCCGATGTGGCTAGAAGAAAGGCTCAGCAAATGAATCCAGCAAGAGCACAGAAAATGAATCCATTTATTGTAAAGGATAATTTTAAGAAATTGGAGAAAGTATTCATTAAATTGGAATTGTTTGATAAACCTGGAAACGTATACAATATAGACAAGAAAGGTTGCCGTCTAACCATCCATTAAAAGCAAACCGTATTGGCTAAGAAAGGTGCTAAACACGGTGAAAATGTTAGTGTTGTGGGTTGTGAAAATGCCCTAGGGCAAGCCATCCCACAGTTCATTCTTTTCAAAGGAAAGATATTGAAGCCTGAATGAAATGATCATCTACCATCAGGATCAACTGTAATGATGATACAGAAAGGGAGCATGACAAATGAGGCGTTCATTTCATGGCTAGGACATTACGCAAAGTGTAAGAATACATGACCCACACTTCTGATATTTGATGGTGCAAAATCGCATCTGGACATAAGTATTGTTGAAGCTGAAGAAAAGGCTGGTGTTACTTTATTTTGTCTTTTAAGTAACACCACGTATTAACCGCGGCCTATGGATAAAGCAGTCTTCAAAAGTTATGAGTCTTTTTGGGATCAGGAGGTTTTAAATTTTTTGATAACTCAACTAGGAAAAAATTTAACCAAAATGCGATTTAGTGCAATATTTAGTAAAGTTTGGTTAAAAGAGATGACACCAGCTAACATCATCTCTGGGTTCAAAGCAACTGGAATATTTCCGTTTAACCCAGACATCATACCTGAATCAGCATTTGAACCCAGTCTTATAGCACATATTGAAGAAAATGTGTTAAAACCACTAAAAACGTCGACGACAGCAACGTAAATAAGCCATCAACTACTACAGTTGATGAAAACGGTCCCTGCATAAGTGGAATAAGTAATAAAAAAATAACAAAACGTCTTCGTTTATATAGCGAGTTGTCTCATTCTGAATCAGATTTTAGTGTTCGTGATAGTATATCTGATGATATAAACAGTAAAGATACAAATATGGTACTATTTACGCCCGAAAAAGTTTACTAATTTCGCCCTTAATCAAGATAACTGATAAAAAGCGAAAACCAGCAATTAATAGCAAAGCTCAAGAAGTTACGAAGGATTTATTTTCCACAGCGATAGAAAAACCACCCAAAGGTAAAAATAACAAAGAACCTTCCAAACAACAAGAAAAATAAAAAGACAAAAACAAAGAACAGGAAGAACAGAAAATAAACAAACATCAAAAAGAACAAGACCATCTGAACAAAGAAAATAAAGAAAAGAAAATAAACAAAAATTTAAAAAGTAGTGAATCATGGTTCTGTCATGTATGTAATGAAGACCGCCAGACTGAATTCAGATTATGTCTTGCATGTGGCCAATACGTACATGAAGAGTGTGTGGGTCTTACTAAACATGATAAGGATAAATTCATAAACCTCAATTGTTCTCAAAAATAGTAAATGTCTCACATTAGTTTTTTAAATGTTGGTTCAATATTATTAATTATTTTTATTAACAAAAAAACCTGTTTCTTTTATTGCCAGTACTGTGGCAATATTAAGGGTATAGATTCCAAATATTGCCAATTGGCAATGAAAGTTAAAAAAAAAAGAAGAATATACATTTTTTTATTGTTTTATTTTTATATTTGTTTAGAAATTAGACTATAAACATGTTTGTTACTTGTTTAATAAATTTACAGGTTATTTCAAATAAATTTGTATTTAATAAAAAAATAATAAGTCTTAGCATGGCAATATTTAGCTCACTTGCCATATATATATATATATATATATATATATATATATATATATATATATATATATATATATATGTATATATATATATATATATATATATATATATATATATATATGTATATATATATATATGAATATATATATATATATATTTATATATATATATATATATATATATATATATATATATATACAGTATTGTCTAGTTATTGAATTTCTTGGCCCGGAGCTTTAACTGAGCTTTTTTTATCATAAGTAAGCCAATACATGTAATGGTTAATGATATTTCTCATGTGTTTAATTATTCTGCAATATTAAAATTTTTTTTAATTAAAATCTTTTTAAAAATGAAACAAATGTTTACGTCCCAAACACTCAATCTCAAAATCCGATACCGAATGCTGAAATGTTACGTTTACAGCACCTAACTATATGGAATGGAGGCCTGGACCTTCAAAATCAACTCCCTAAGGCGTTTGGAAAGTTTTGAAATGTGGTTATTTCGAAGGATGCTGAAAGTCCCCTGGACAGCGCATATGAGCAACGAGCAGGTCCTACACAAGATGGGTACCGACAGAGAACTCTTAAAAATAATGAAAACACGGAAAACCTCATATTTGGGACACATATACAGAAATGAGAAATACCAGCTACTGCAGCTTCTTATAGAGGGGAAGGTAGAAGGAAAACGTGGTCCTGGTAGACGGCAGGCGTCCTGGTTGAAGAACATTCGTGAGTGGACTGGTTTGGATTCTCAATCTTTAATAAGAAAAGCCAGGGACAAAAATGATTTTGCTGAGGTTATATAAATTTAACGATTTATTAAAATGGATAACAAAATCTAAATTTTAAGCATTTTAGTGGACAAGAACCAAAGTTATGGGTTAATTGCGCGAGTGCTTTTTTTTTAATTGTAGATTTTTAGAAAGTAACAAAAATTTAGATTTTAGAAAATGAAGAAGGCTTTATAACACTTTACTATAATTTATTTAATCAAAAAGTTTAACCTACGCAATTTTTGAGCAAAATGGGTTTATATTAACAGTGATAACGGACTAGAAATTATTTTTTCCTTTTTTTTATATGAAGTGCTTTTTCTTTGCAGAACGCTTTAAACAGTACCTATATGTTAATATTGATTGTTTATTAAATTATTTATTAAAAAAAGTTATAATTTATTATATATATATTATAATAAGAAAAATGATATCTTGTGATTTAAAATCGGTCCAGTGAGTTCAGAGATATAGCTGTTCAAATATAGGGTAAAAGAACTATTTTTACCCCTCCGAGGAACATATCCCAGGTCCAGGGACATCCGATCAGATAGATCTTGAACAAATACCGTTGTGTCCTAAGACAAATAACAGAAAAATAAATGGAATAAAACAAGCCTGCCTATATATGTTTTATTGATTTAGTGAGGGCATTCAACCTTCCCCCCTGAAAGACATTATACAATTCCTCTCATAAATCAAATTCAAGTTTAAATAAACGGAGAACTTTTCAATATAATCATCAATTAGAAATGTTAGAACTTACCACAGAATGGTAAAAGTCTTGATAGAAGTATACCTTGGGAAAGAGAGATACCGCATGATAAAAAATAGATTCACACATACTGGATAGAGCCTAATATTATAAATGCATTTAAAGAACATATTAACAAAATTTTCGAATAAGAATACAAACATAAATGTCAACACTCTGAGCGACATTAAAGTAGAAGCTATAGAGGAAAGCCAGAAGAATCCCCACAAAAGTCTCCAAACATGAGCATTAATAGAAGAGAGGAGAAAAGTGCAAAGTAATAAAACCACAGAACGTCACAAACTTGAAAAGATAAGTAAAAGAATACAAAAATCTATTAGAACCGACAACTATAGTGTATTTTTATGTATGAGAGAGTAATAAAACAATAAATTATGTATGCAAATCCCTAAACTGTTGATACGGGTGACTCAATGAAAAACAGATATTTGTCAACAAGTTTACTGAAGTATATAGGAAAACAATTTTAAATTGAGTATGACCACCAAGTATAAAGGTTGGAGCAGAATAGAATACAATAGTTGTGAGGGTTACTAATTCCTAAATAAGGTTGCCAGTGTCGGAGTGATGGAGGTTAACAGGTACTAATGAATTTGCAAAAAATGTAAGATGTTTATTTTATTGGTTATATATAACCAATAAAAGTTTAATACACTACGACTGATATAGGAGTAGACGTCGCGCGCTAGCAGATTTCAAATATTGTACCGAGAGCTCAGTTGATCGAGAACCGCTTAGCTGTATACAACTGTATACACTTGTATACAGCTTGTATACAGCTAAGCGGTTCTCGATCAACTGAGCTCTCGGTACAATATTTGAAATCTGCTAGCGCGCGACGTCTACTCCTATATCAGTCGTAGTGTAAGTACCTACCTATTTGCAAAATAAAGTTTAATTCTTTAGATAAAATAAAACGTTTTATTTTATCTGAAATGAGTGCATTCCACGAAGTAAGGGTTTCAACAATCAAACATTTAATTCTTTAATTCCAGGAATCTATGACAGTAATTGACTAGATAAATATCTAAACTTATTCCACAGAAAATGTGATAGTGGGTTTTTCCATTTTGTAGGAAGGTCCAAGTGGCGTATTCAAAATTCTTAACAGTTCACTAAAAGTAGGTACTTCAGTTGCAAGATGCAGTTTATTGGGTATACTAGTGTTATGGAAAATTTGAAAGTGCCGTGTAAACGCCGAAAAATTGGTCCTTTAACAGTTAATGAAAAAACATTAATATTTAATTGTTTTAAATCATTTACAGACAAACGTTTATGTGAAAGTGTTGATGAGACCATTGAGTTAGTTAGCAGTACACTTGGTGTTGGGAAATCTACGATTTACAGAGTTATTAAAGAAGAGAAATGTGGTAGTTTTCAAATGCCACGTAATGCTCCAGGGAAACCAAAATTTCAAATAGAATATCATTTTAAAGAGGGACTTCGACGGAAAGTGCATGAATTCTTCTTTAGACAAGAATTTCCAACATTGGATAAAGTTCTTGTCTCAGTTCGAGATGATAAGGATTACCCAGAAATGAGTCGAAGTACGTTATGGAAACTTTTAAAAGAAATAGGCTTCCGCTGGAAAAAGAATCCCAGAAAGTCTATTTTATTAGAAAGAATCGGTATTGTAATATGGAGAAGACATTTTCTAAGAACCATAAAGGAAATGAGAAACCAAAAAAGAAAAATATTTTATCTTGATGAAACATGGATCAACGAGGGTCATACACCAAATAAATTTTGGCAGGATGAAACTGTTACAAGTCAAAGGCACACTTTTGTAAATAACTTATCTACTGGTTTAAACCCACCATCAGGAAAGGGACGCAGGCTGATAGTAGTACACATTGGCAGTTCAGACGGTTTTGTCGAAGGTGGTTTATTAACTTTTGAATCAACTCGTACCGGTGACTACCATGAAGACATGAACGCTGGTGTCTTTCAAGAATGGTTCGAACAAATGATAGATCTCCTTCCTAAGAACTGTGTAATAGTAATGGATAATGCAAGTTATTACTCCAGACTTATAGAAGGACTGCCCACAACCAAGTGGTTAAAAAAGACTTGCAGAATTGGCTGAGTTCAAAAAATATTACGTACCATTCCGGATCTATAAGAAAGGAACTTTATTCGTTGTGTGCCCTTCATTAAGAAAAATTAAAGAAATACGAAATTGATGAAATTGCCAAAAATCGTGGAATGACAGTACTTAGATTCGCAGTATATCATTGTGAATTAAACCTGATTGAACTGGTATGGGCACAGATAAATAGTGAAGTTTCAAGAAAAAATACCACTTTTAAAATTCATGATGTTAAACAGTTGTTTTTGGAGGCCGTAAATAATGTAAAACCTGAAAACTGGGAAAAGGCAGTAAATCACACTATTAAAGAAGAGGAAAAAATCTGGAAGCTGGACAATATTACCGATAAAATGATCGAGCCAGTTATTATAAATCTTGGTTCTGAAAGTTTATCTTCTCAATCTGATTTGGATTTGTAACAAGTAGCTGTAAGTTTTATATTAATATTTTTATTCATCTATTTAACATACCTTAGACGGTTTTAAAAACTCTTTTTCTCTTTTGTACTTTTTAAAAATTAAAAAAAATGTGAATTTTTTAAAACCCTTTTTAATGTAGGCCAGTCAGTTCTGTGTGATAAAAGAGGTCACTTTTGTTTACTTACACATAACACTTTATAACACTGAAATAATTCATTTATTTTTTACAATTATTCAAAGTAATTTTTCAATTAATCTTGAGCACGCCCATGGAGTGGTCGGAGGTACCAGTTAAAATTATGCTAATTACTCTCTCGTTCATAAAAATAAACTATAAAAGCATAAAAGTGACCACATCCAGCAATCAATTATAGATAAATTAAATCATTCAATCAGAAATTAAAGAATAAAGACGGAAATATTTTAACCAAGAGAGATAAATTACTAAGGGTAGTAGAATATTTCTATACATAATTATATAGAAATCAACAAATTCATGATAAGCAACTAACACAAAAGTTAGAAAGTTTAGGAAAAAGATTAGTCAACCAAGAATCGGAATTGATACCTGATTTATCAACAGACGAAATAAAGAGCTCTCCAGGAGAAGATAATATCGTTATAGATACCACATAGATTGAAAAAGGACAGACCTTTAGAGAATATAAAGGAACTATTGTTCCTTTGTTGTTTCTATGAGAACACAGTGGACTTATCAATTTACTGCACAAAAATGGAGATACAACAGACCTCGAGAATTACCGACCCTGTTAGACCACCTCTCCAAGTTATTGACAGGAATAATAACAATTAGACTAAAACAAAATTAGATTTTTACCAAAGGAACAGAGGAACAGGGAATAAAAACGACCAGTTATCCTGGCCTCCGTAGATTTTCGCAAAGTATTCGATACGATAGAAATTAATAGCGTAATAAGACCGTAGAGGAAACTCGTATAAATTATCGGTACTCCAAACTAATCGAAAACACTACAATACAATAATGTAACCATGACCGTAAGATTACATACATCTCCCAAACTCTTTACGGCAGTTCTACAACATGACTCAAACAATAAGAAATGTTCTTCCACCTTCAGTTTACGCACGACCTAGTTCTGATAACAGATATCTTAAAAAGAATAGGAATTATTCTTACTGAGTTAGATGGTACCTATAAGGAAGTGGGTTAAAACGTAAATTTGACATGGGCCCCATATGAGGCTTTATCACAAATCTTCAAGAGTAACATGCCAAATTATTTCTGAGGAAAAGAAGACGTTTGACCAATGTGTGCTTTTAGTCATGACCTACGGCGCAGAAATAATTTACTTAACCACGGCCAGAGCAAACAAACTCAGAGAGGCCTAAAGAACAATGGAACGATCTTTACTTGGACTAGCTCTCAGAGACAAGGTTAGAAACAAATGAATAAGAAGGAAAGTGAAACTAGCAGGCTGTGTGGCCAGAATGAATGACGAGCGGTGAACCCAAAAAATTACAGTGTGAAGACCCCGAACAGACAAAAGAAGCAGAGGTAAAATTGGATGCAAAAAGCTTAAGACCGACAGAACCGAAAGAAATTAGAGGAAGCCTATGTTCAACTTTAAACGCAGAAGGCAGGGTAATATTTATGATCACCAATACAATACTAGCTGAGAATGGCATTCGTCAGAGTGACTTACTGAGCCCGTTACTATGAGTCTATTATGAATAAGATAATAAAGAAAGTACGAAAAATGAGAGGATATAGGATGGAAGACAAAGAGATTAAAATTTTGTGTTATGCAGATGACGCTGCATTGTTTTGCTGAAAACGGAATACGACCTACAACTACTTAAATTCAAAGCTAAATCGTTCAACATGGGGATATTAGCTGGTAAAATAAAATGTATGACAACATCAAAGAGACCTGTAAGATGTACACTCGTGGTAAATGGATCAATTATTCAGCAAGAGATGAAGTTTAAATACTTAGGTATAAAACTATTAGGCTATGGTGAGGTTGAAGCAGAAGTGAGAGAACAAACAACGAAAACAACGAAAATATTTGACTGTCTAAACAATACAATATGACGTAATAAAAACATTGGCATTGAGGCTAAATCAAGAATATATAAAGCTGCTATAAAACCTATAATGACATACACCGGTGACCGGAACCTTAAAAAGAAGACAGCTATACTAGAGTTACTAATGAATAATAGATTATACAAATTTTTAAGTAAGTACTCACCAAGAACAACCAAACCGAGGCTTACTAGAAATTTGTTCATTTTGTCAGTCTATCGTTGTGCCAAAACCAACTACAAAAGTATGAGTTATAAATTTAGTTTATATATAGTTTCTGCTATCTAAATTTCTTGAACCTGTCTCAAAACAAAGGTTAATTTGACAAAATATCTTTGACACAGATAAATGTTAAGATGAATTGCATGACTTTTAGGAAACAATCTTTTTCGATAACGGAAGATATTGAAGGTTAGATGAAAGGTTATATTACTTATGTCAACACGTAAACAACTATAGATTGGAGATGGACTACAAAATTATTACGAAATTTGCCGATAAGGTGGTATCAGGGAGTGGTCCTGAATGTTTTATGTAATTTACAATGAAATCAGTTTTTTTTATTTTCCAAATTCTTGTATATTTAATTTACGTCTATTTTCTTGAAATTTGTTAAATTTTTTACGTTGAAATCTTAGCTCAAAGATCACAGATAAGTGTTAATTGCAACAAACATTTTAACAAGTAACAACAAATATTGAACAGCTTGTTATCTCCCAAAGTATGTCTCTGTCTTTATGATTTGATTATATTTATCCACATTTTCTTGGTTGTAACTTTTTTGCGTTTGTTTTTGCATTCTTCTTCTTATAGATTACATTATGTTTGACTTCTCTAATTGTAATATCATCTCATTTCTATTGTTTCCACCATATTGACTTTTTACATCTATTTATGACAGAACCATACCAGTAGACATTATAAGACAGTCATTTACTATTTCGATTTAAAATTATCCACAATTTAAGTTTAAAAAAGGTTTATTTCGATGTTTTGTTTTGCACTTCGGAAATAAGCCAGTAAAGGACAAAACAAAACTGAAAAAATCTTGTACAAGGTTTTTAAGGTTCAGTCAGGTATATGAGGGATGAGAAAACCGAAGCCATCATTCTGTAGGGGAAAAGGAACAGACAAAGTGTTGAATTACAATGTGCGGGAGCATGTCTAACACCCACGAACCACGTAAAGTACCAAGGAGTGACATTGCACTAGAATGGAATATGGGGGAAGCACACGCGGGAGGTGGCCTGAAAGGCTGCGAATAGTGCGGCTGTGTTGGGGAGGCTAATGACCAATTTTGGGGGACCTGAATACGAAAGAAGGAGGGTCGTACACGGTGTTGTACAGTCGATCGTCCTCTACGCGGCACCAGTCTGGAGCGGGGCTGTAGAGATAACGGCCTATAGAAGGCTTATGATACGAGTGGACAGAACAAGTCTGTTGCGAGTGGTATGCGCCTACAGGACTGTGTCTGCGGTAACCTTGTGGACCATCACTGAATGCGTTCCGTTGCATTTTTTAGAGGTGGGAAGAAAAGAGCTCTACGAGAGAAGAGGCCCAAACCTTATTATGGCCGAGAGAAGACAGTAAAGGGAAAGGTCAATTAAAAGATGGCAAGAAGAATGGAACAACATGGAGGATGTGGCATAGTGGATGAAAATGCTGATCCCGAACATACGAGATTGGGTGGACTGTGGCCACAGGCGACTGGATTATTTCCTGACGCAGGTGCTCACAGGACAAGGGTATTTTAGGGCCTACATCTCTAGGTTCGGAAAGGCTGACACAGATGAATGTCTATACTGTGGATACTCGGAAACTGTGACACATACGATGTTAGATTGCAACAGATGTAGAGTAGAAAGGAACAGAATAGAAAAGAGACAGTTTTGAATTTTGTTACAGTGAGAGAAATGATTGAAAGAATGATTGAAAATGTGGATGAATGGAGAATGAATGAATGAAGGTAGTCTTCGGAAACGAATTCGGCCTTACAGCTTCCGGATCGCTGGATGACAGAGGAGGGTCTGGTTTAGCAGGTAGGCGTTTGGCGTAGACTTGGCGACTGGAGGGAATTTTATAGTACCTCGGGAACTATGGCCGGGAGTACGAAGAACGAATCCTGCACTAAGATCAGTCAGGCGGCTGGAAGGATAGCTGATGAAAAATGCTTGAAGACGTACAAATGATTTTGCTACATATATTTTTTAAACAATCATAAAAAGTAAAAAACTATTTTTTGTCTATAAAACGTTTTTTATGCATTTTAGAGAAAAATGGTTCGACTAAAAGTGATAGTTTTTAAACAGCTCTTTAATTTGCGTGTTTCTAAGTTAAAATGCATAAACAATTGACCAAGATAATTGCAAAAAGCCCTTATTTTTGCAGTAATTTATAATTGTTATTAACTTTGTTCTTTGCATAATGACATGTAATATACTACTTGCACTTATGGCAATTAATGAATTAGTTAAGTGTGATAAATCTCAGCTAGCTCGAACCGGAGTTTGTTTATACCAGAGTGCGATTATTTAAACAACTGTACTTGCCCAAACAGTGACTCCAGAGGAATCATACATCCCATTTTGATTCTTTGAGGCTTAGGTTTTAAACCATATTAAAAAATATCAACATTTTATTAAAATTATTATTACAAAACCGTTTGAAAAAGGACTGGCTTTAACTTATAAACATTTTTAGTAAATTTGATATTTTTTATGACACGCACTTGAAGTGGTAGTATACTTGTGGTAGTGTACTTGTAGTGAAAGTAGGTTTACTTACAGATAGTGAAAAAACACAATCTTAAAAATCAGAACCTTTTATGGCCAATACGAACAAAGATGTCAATTTTTATTCTTAAAATCATGTTTCCATTGTTCATTAACATTAAGAGTTGAAAATTGAACATATAAACGAAGATCTAAATTTTATGATCAATTTTATAGATGCATTTACCGAGAAGTAAAAACATATAACCCTTAAAATGATAGCGCCTGTCCCAGCTCGATTTTTTTTTAGAATGGAACTTCAAATTGGAGCACGCTCAAAAGTTTTGTAATCTGTTGGTTTCTATGGCACGCGGTAGATAGTTTCAAATTGCGGTAGCTCTATAAAACAATAAGAACTGTGCTATTTTCACTTCCCGTAAAAATCGAAAAAAACCCGAAAAACTAGTTAAATTTTTCCATAAAAAGTCAAATTTCGTAAGAAATATTTACATTCTTTTTGTAAAGTACAAAAAAATCAATTGTACAGAGAGTTTAAGTAAAGGATTCTTCACATAAGAAGACTGCTTTGCAATTAAATGCTGGTAACTTTATTACTAGTAGACCAGATAAGCGGCGATGTATTTTACACTACCTTTTTGAATAACATTTTATTGCTCTGTTATTTCAATCAGCACTGCTCAACAAGTTATCGTTTATTGGTTTATAATTTTATTACAATACTACGAGAGCGGAATATTTATTTAAACAGTCAATTAATTACATGTTAATTTTTTAAATTTATTCTGACGTATCGTATAATGTAGGTTTACCCAATAATCAAAGGTATGCATTTACAAGAATATATTATTTTAAAAATAAGGAGTAAATAAAATGTATCATAATAATTGTAATCTCAGGAAAAAAGACAATAAAGATTTTAGACACACTTAAAAAATTTGTTTACTAATGTATTTCTTAAATCCATACAATCATTGAAAAATGATTCATGCTATTTAAAATATCTTTCTGTTAACAACACTGTCATCGACAAAGTAATTCAAATTCAAACGTTATCATATTTCTCTTCTGTTTATCGTTAAAAATTAATTGATAGTTGTAGGTTGTATTTTTGTTGTTTAATAATTTAACAAAATACATAATCAGCAAAAACCTTACTTAAAGCATGCACTGGTTTTTGCAATCACAATCAATACAGTGTTTATGCTTATTTAGCATTGGTTGTTAAAAAATCTTTGTTCGATTGTTTCGTCTGTTGCACAACCGTCTTCCTTTTTAGGGTGTAGTAGTTGTATATAAGTACCTATTTTTTATAGTAGTGTAGTGAAGCGGTACTTTAAAGCAAAATGGGTAATTTGGAAGAAAATAAAATACAGTCGAAATGTAAAGTGTTATCTCCAGAAGAACGGCGTTGATCCGGATCGGAAGATGCGCTGCTTTTTATGCGTTTTTTGATTGCATTAGATAGTAAAATTGTTTGTTATTGGACTGCCAGAGTGACAATCTTTGCTGTGATAGGCCATTCTGGCGTCAGTATAGTCTGCCATACAATCAGACAAGAGATATCAAGAATCGTCAAACTGCCCAAATATAACCTAACCAAAGTAGAAAGAGAGGCCTTAAAAACACTTAATGGCAACGATATTATCATTATCATTTCGACAAATAAAGAAAATCCAACCGTAGTACTAAATAAGGACGGCTATAATTCTAAAATAAATAGTATTCTTGAATATCCTAGCTAATAAGTCATCTTTACTACAAGAGGTTAAAAAAGACCTAATTCCATGTGCTACCCAAGCACATGCCCAAAATTACACGGCTGGCCAAAAATTCGCAAACAATATGCTCCTCTCAGATCGATGTAAGTGCGTTTAACTCACTTTTATACAAACTAAAGAAATACCTTCCCACCAAATTACAGCAGTTAGTCAAAAAAGCACCATCATCAATTCGAAATTCGCAGCATCTAATTCAAATACTTTCGGCGCAATCCGTAGAACAACTTGACCTTTTAGTCAGTTTCGACGTTAAATCTAGTATCCCGATTGACGACGCGCTAAATTCAATTTTCACTCAAAGAAAAACAATATGATAATATCAGCAGAAAAAACAAAATGTATGACATTACCAACATCTAAATAACCACTTCGATGTAACATCGAAATTGATGGGAAAACAATAAAGCAGGAAGCAAGGTTTAGATATTTGGGAATAGATATAACTAGTAACGTAGATGTTGAAGAAGAAGTACGACAACAAAACTTAAAAGCAAGTAAAGCGAGGGGTTCTCTTAATGACACAATCTGGAAAAACAAACACCTAAGACAGGACACAAAAACAAGAATCTATAAAGTATTATTATAATATTAGACTATATTTACGTCCACGGCGGAGACAAGACCTGACACATCTAAAACAAGACGACTACATAGAAACGAAAACATAAGAAGATGTTATCCATAAATGGATTAGTTACAAAACGGTAAAGGAAGTGTAACGAACACATTAGTAGAA